GTGTATGTACCATAGTTTGTTTATCCATTCATCTGTTGATGGGCATCTAGGTTGTTTCCATCTTTTTGCTATTGTGAACAATGCTGCCATGAACACAGGTGTGCATATGTCTATTGGAGTGACGACTCTTATTTCTCTAGGATGTATTCCTAGGAGTGGGATTGCTGGATCGAATGGTATTTCTTTTTCTAGCTTTCTAAGGAAGCGCCATATCATTTTCCAAAATGGTTGTATCATTTTGCATTCCCACCAGCTGTGCATGAGAGTTCTGATCTCCCCGCAGTCCCTCCAACATTTGCTATTTCCAGTGTTTTTGATTCGTGCCAGTAATGCCGGGGTGAGATGATATCTCATTGTGGTTTAATTTGCATTTCTCTAATGGCTAGTGATCGCGAGCATTTCCTCATGTGTCTGTTGGCCACTTGAATGCCTTCTTTGGTGAAGTGTCTGTTCATTTTCTTTGCCCATTTTTTAATAGGATTATTTGTCTTTTTGTTGTAGAGGTGTTGGATTTTCTTGTAGAATATGGAGATTAGACCTTCGTCTGACTTGTACTGTCCAAAATTTTTTTCCCAGTCTGGAGGTTCTCTTTTTACTCTTATAGTGAAGTCTTTTGAAGAGCATAGGTGTTTGATTTTTAGAAGATCCCAGTTATCCAGCTTATTTTCTGGGGTTTGTGTGTTGATGGTTATGGTTGGTATCCTGTTAAGGCCGTGTATTAAGGCCTGTAGCATTGGTACTATTAGAAAAGGCTGTAATTTTTTTGTCCTCTATTAGAAATATGGGCTAAAAAATGTGCTTCTGTACAAAATGTGTACACTGTCCAGTGAACTAATCCTAAACGTTTAAATCAAAGGGTCAAAACCAAGAAGATACTGTTTAGTTTTTTCCTTTTTTTTTTTTTTTTTTCATTTACTAGATTCTTGGTTGACTACCTCTTCTATCAAATAGGAAAGATACACAGTGATGAATTTTGAAGTGATTTCTTTAGCTAAAACAAATAAGGGTGGGCAAGGGTGTCGATATTATATACATTTTAAAAATGGGTTCAAAAATGGGTGCTAAAAAATAATTATAAAAAGTACAATATAACTAATAGGTCCAAAAGACCGTAGGTCATAAAATACAGAAATTTTTACCAATATTTTTCTAATTTTTCTCACAGTAATCAATAACATAATTCTATAAATAATTTTAACTGTCTATATTTTAGCCCGATTCCTTCCTCTTTCTGGAAACAACAATAAAGTATTTTAAGTAAGCAAAAGGTATACAACAAACAGCTTTAATTTAATAGCCATATAAAGCTTCATTCTATGCAAGAAAAGGCTGAAAAAAGATATATACTTAGTTGTTGAGTAACAAGAGCCATTGGTGATGGCTTGATCCAAATCTGCTTTGTCTATTTAGAATAGACAAGAGGCAAGAGAATCCTTCTTTTTAAATCCCATCTAGTTTTCACCAGTTTACCAAGGTAAGGAAGAAAAGAAGTAAAAGTAGATAAATCAGTAGAAGAGATGGAAGGAATTATTTAGGGAAAGAGAGAGAGAGACCATAAGACCATACTACTTTTAAAAGACCATATACTTTTAAAGGTATATAAACCATCAGATCTTTACTGGACAATTATTAATACTGAATATTTATATAAAATTTCTTCACTCAAAATGACAATTAGAAATTTACAGTATTTCCACTTTCAAATAAAAGCCTAACTTAACTTTGAGCTATTTATATTTGTTGCAGTTAGGTGGCCTTGAGTCAGTTCTGACTCATAGTGACCCTATGTATTTAGAACTATTATAAAAATAATGACTAATGATTTCTAAAATTCCTTTATAGCACTCTTAAATTGCTTCTCTTTTATGATTTATTTATGTATATCTTTAAGTTAGAAATTATATAGCTTAATAAATTTGGTTTATTGTATTTTAAATGGAACTTTAGGTATTTCCTTACTTTCCACTTAGTACTGCCACACCTACTGTGCTCCTAGGGGTGGACATGGTGGCAACAAAATTCCACTGGCGAGCCTGAGGGTCCCATCTTTCCACTGTATTCAGATAGCTCCAGCCATCATGCCCTCCTACTGCATACATGGGACCTTCCAATACGGCCACACCTATAAGGAGACAGGAAAGAAATAATGGCTTAGATTTACTACTAAGTCTTAAAGAGCACATATTAATTGAAATATAAGTAAAATGAACCTTAAATATGCAAATTTAACTAAGCAAAAACTTATGATATGGATATTTGCCTTCCTCACTGCTTTCTTAGTGGGTGGGTCGCGGGGGTGGTGGTGAGAAATAGCACTGCAGTTCTTGTCTTAAAAGGTTAGAAGCAGTATTTGAGGTCCACTCATGGAAAGTTGTTTTGTTTTTTTAATTTTATTTTGTTGTTGAGAATATACGCAGCAAAACATACACCAATTCAACAGTTTCTACATGTGTAATTCAGTGACATTGATTACATTCTTTGAGCTGTGCAACCATTCTCATCCTCCTTTTCTGAGTTGTTCTTCCCCCATTAACATAAACTCACTGCCTCCTAAGGTTCTTATCTAATCTTTCAAGTTGCTGTTGTCACTTTGATCCCATATAGATAGTTCTTAAAAGAGCATGATGTTCAAGACAGGCATTTTTTACTGGTTAAGCTAAATTATTGTTTGGCTTTAAGAAGACTTCAGGGTATATTTTTGGTTTAAGTTCTAAAGATTATCTGAGGGTAATAGTTTCAGGGGTTTGTCAAGCCCCCATGGCTCCAGAAAGTCTAGAGTCCATGAGAATTTTAAATTCTGTTCTACATTTTCCCCCTTTTGATCAGGATTCTTTTATAGAATCTTAGATCAAAATGTTCAGTAACGGTAGCTGGGCACCATCCAGTTCTTCTGGTCTGATGGCAAAGGAGGCAGTTGTTCATGGAGGCAATTAGCCACACATTCCATATCCTCCTCCTAGTCCTGAATCTCCTTATTCCTGTTACACCAAGTGAATAGAGACCAATTGTTGTGCCTTGGATGGCCACCTGCAAGCTTTTAAGACCTCAGGCACTACACAACAAACTAGGAGGTAGAAGCCATGCAAAATTTTTAAAAACTACATCAGATGCACACATTACCATTACTTAATACGTTTTTCAATAATTTAGATTTGATAAATTTGAAAAAGTATTTTTCTTCCTTTCCCCCTATTAATTCAAATTCATGGCATTTTACTGTACTTAGATTTGATACCACAAATCTATTAGTGTGATTCATCACCAGGGAACTGAGCCAAACTCATTTATTCAACAAATATCTATTGTCTGTTAAGTGCCAGGCACTTAATAGAACAAAACAGATAACAGCTCTGCTCTCATGGACATTGTATTTCAGTGGGGAAAATAGTCACAAAAAATACTTCAGGTATTCATAAATGCTAGTAAGAAAAATGGAGCAGAGTAAGAGGGTAGAGAAGGTCAGGGGAGGCCTCTCTAATAAGGTGACATTTGAGCAGAAGTCTGAATGAGGGTAGAAAACCTAACATGCAGATATCCAAGGAAAGAGCAGTTGAGACAAGGGGAACAGTGTATGCCTGACGTCTGCTTTGTGTGTCTGAGGTCCAGCAAGGAGGCCAGTTTGGTTGAGCAGGGAGAGAGTAGGTGATGGAAGAGTCAGACCACATAGGGCAGTCAGGGCTATTGTAAGGACTTTGCATTTTACTCTGAATCAGATGGAGGGTCAGTAGAGAGTCTTGAGAAGAGGTGTGATATGATTATAGCCAAGTGAGATACAGATATGTATCACTTGAAAGCCAAAAAGAAAACCCTGTGAGACAAATATATTTTCATTTGTGAAATCATGGTCAAATGAGGTATAAATATTCTCCATTCATGCATGACCCAAATCAACATACTGTTCATTTGTTACATTATATATTTTGCCCTAATATAATATACAACACACACACACACACACACACACACACACTTTTCCAAAGGACTGAAGAAAATGCAAAAGGATCCATCTACTCCAACCCCTTACATGATGACTTTGAAAATATATTTTTGCAGCAGAATTCATTTTTCAAATGAAATCTTCATAGAATTCCCACATATAAAGAAATAAAAGGAGTGTTTCTTAAATATAAATTCATTTTATAAGTTCAAATCTAGAACATTTATTTATTATAAGGTAAATTAGTAAGAACAAGGCTGTTCTGAAGGGCTTAACAATTTGAATTAAGGGCTCAAAGAAGACACTTTGAGTTATGTGATCATTCCCTTTGAACTTGCTGCAGTTCTAGAAAGTCATTTGTATGGAGCTTAGAATGAATGAACAATCTAATTTGCTCATGTCAACCATGTGCCTAGCATCAGACGTGTGAGTGAGACCATTCTAGATCATCCAACAGACCTGTCAGCTGACCACAGATTCATGAGAAAACCTAGCAGAAATCAGTCAAGGCAGCCCAGATCCTAAGAACCATCCAGCTGACCCACAGATCCATGAGCTAAATAAACGGTTGTTGTTTAGAGCCTTGGAGGCACAGTGGTTAAAGTGTCTGGCTACTAACCTAAAGATCGGCGGTTCAAAACCACCAGCGGCTCCATGGAAAGATGTGGCAGTCTGCTTCTGTAGAGATTTACAGCCTTGGAAACCCTATGGGGTCACTATGAGTCGGAATTGACTCGATGGCAGTAGCCATGGGTAAGTTTCGGGGTAGTTTGTTACGTAGCAAAATCTGGCTCATACACATATACTTCAAGCCCCCATCTAATTTTATTCCACCTTCTTCACTCTCATCAAATAATTCATTCTATTTCATTAAGAAAAGAGAAGTCACTTGATACAGATCTCTAAATTCTTTTCTATCCATTTTAGAATGTGCTATTAGTTCCTTAAAGGGTAGAAATATGTGTTTTCTTCATCTTTATATACCTACAGAGCAAAGAGCATGGCACACAGTAGATGTTCAGTAAATGTCTGCTCAGTGAATATTGAATGAAAGATTGAAAAGTATCATTACATTCTCTGTGCTACCTCAAAATTTTTCTGGGTCATCACTCGTTTCTGCTTAAAAATCAGGGAAAAGAGATGAAAGACAACAATACCAAAGATTTTAAAATAAACATTTAATTTAAGTTAGATAACACTGTCAACAAAGAACACGTATGAGTAGCTTGTCAGACCGCCACGCTACACTAGAATCCTTTAGTATCCATGTTTTTATTTGTATTGGCTGCTGCCACATTCATGTATATGTTTGTTTTCTCTGTTTCTCCTTCTCAACTAACAGGAGACATGTGAAGGAATGCTTGTGACTACTGCTGACTCAACAGCTGCCACATTGGTCATCTTCTACCTGATAGGGGATGTAAAAATGCTGTGAAAGCCTAACATATAATATTATGAGCAAGTGTGCATAGTTATACTTACCAAGGCCATGCCTATGTGTGGACATCGGAGGCATCACACTCCAAGTTTTTGTTTTCGGGTTGTAGCACTCTACTGTATTCAAAGTCTTCAGTCCATCTCTTCCTCCAACCACATACAGTTTGTCATCTAACACCGCAACACCAAACTGCAGCCTCCTCCCATTCATATTTGCTACAGGAGTCCACATATTTGTACGGAGATCATACTTTTCAATGCTTGTTGCTCCTCAATAGTAACATACAGAAGTTATATATAAGAATTTCACCACGACTATTTTATGAAATTACACATACAAAAGTATAATTTTGTTAGCACTGACAATAATACTTTTACTATATTCCAACAAGCTGCTGTATGATCTGGCCCTGCCTATGTCTTTAACCTCATCTGTTACTATTCTCCCAGGCATTCACCAGACTCCAATATTTAAAGGTCAAGTGGGTAAGGAATATGTGTCAAAGGTGGCTGAGAAACAACAGCCAGAAATGAGAGGAAAAGCAGTGCCATGGAAGTTGAAAGAAAAAAAGTTTCAAGCAGGTGGGGCTGCTGCTAACTGAGAGATCCAGTACGATGAAGACTAAAAAGTATTATTGGATCTAGCTATATATGGAAATCATTGATGGCTTCAGGGAGTATATCCTTATTGAGGGGATACTGGTGGTTCAGTGGTAGAATTCTCACCTTCCATGCAGGAAACCTAGGTTTGATTCCCAGGTCTAACTAACAATATACTAAATAGACATAGAAAGAAAGGGGCCAAGAGCTCAATGATCAGACCACCATCCAACTAATGCAAATTGCTCTCCATTATAAAGACACTGGAAATAAGTTAAGGTCAATGAAGATTTCTTGAATGTGGTGGAAACTCAGAATATTCTATTGTTAAGAAAGACTCAGAAATAAAATTGGTCAAGTAGCAAGGGTCCTACTAGAGAAAATCTTGAAAACTAGAAAGAAGGAATTACACCTGATGTGCTAAGAAATAAAGATTGCTGGAGTTTTTAAACAGAGTAATGGGATGATAAATGAAGAGTTAAGGAGCAGACTGTAGTCTCTAGAGTCAGAATGCCTGTGTTTGAATTCTGATTTATGACTTATTAGTTATGTGATCCTAGGAACATTACTTAACTTCTGTTAAGTCTTGGTATTCTCATCTGTAAGAGACAGCAATAACATTCATCTCTTAAAGTTGTTATGAAGATGAAGTGAAACAATACAGATCAAGTGCTCAGCATAATGCCTGATACATATTAACAACATAATGAATGCTATCTTCCTAAAACAACACGATTAAAATATGTAGGATGAATTGACAGGATGAAGAGCATTGCATCTAGGGGGCAGAGCATTCCAGTGAGAGGGGACAGCTACTGCAATGTCCCTGACGTGGGATAATGTTTGGCATGTTAGATGAACAAGGAGGTTAATGGGGATGGAACAGAAGGAGTGAAGGGAGAAGTATGAGCTGAGGTCAGAGAGGTACTATCAGGGGATTGCAGACCATCAGTACTAGAAATTCAGAGGAAGGGAGATCAATGTATACTGAGAGATAACACACAGAAAGCTTCTAGCACAACACCTGGCCCAGAATAGGCACTATGTATCATGATAGTTGCACTTATTGTTACTATCAGTAATGACTGTTGCAAGAATGGTATAAAAAATTTCCAGAGACCCTTAATCAACATTTCCTATATGTTTCCATTTTACTGTATTTGATATACATGTATATATTTTTTCAGAACTATTTAAGAGTAGTAAAACATTACAGACATAATGCCCTTGTGCTCCTATACATTTCAGTTTATATTCCCCAAAACAGGAAATTCTCTTACAAAGCCACAATACAGTCATCAAAATCTGTAAATTAACATTGATAAAATGCTATTATCTAAGCTACAGAATTTATTTGGATTTTGTCAAATGTCCAATTATGTCAATATAGCAAAAGAAAATCCAGGACCATACATTATAATCAGCTGTTATGTCTTTTTAGTCTCCTTTAATCTAGAACGATTTCTGAATCTTTTTGTATTTCGTGACACTGACATTTTTAAAAAAGATTACAGACAACTTATTCTGTAGACTGCTCCTCAACCTGTATTTCTTTCTTCCTGATGACTGAATTCAGTTTATATACTTTTGGCAATGGTAACACATATGTGCTGCTGAGTTCTTCGCAGCATATCATATCAGAGGCACATGCTGTCTCATTACTGGCAATGTTAACTTTGCTCATTTGGCTAAGGAGCTGTATGCTAGGTTTCTCCACTGTAAAGATACTATTTTACCCTTTGTAACTAATAAGCACATGGTAGGAAGATACTTTGAGACTAAATATCCTATTCTCTTCAAACTTTCACCCACTAGTCTCAGTATCCATTGATGATTTTTGCCTGAATCAGTGATTATCATGATGGTTACCAAATGGTGATTTTTCTAATCTCATTTTTCCTCCTACATTTATTAGTTGGCACTTTACTGTAAGGAAGAGCCTTCCCTTCTTTAGTTGTATCAGTGTGGACTTGCAGAAACTTATCGATTCAATAGGTTATAATCTTTTACAATCATTATTTACTTTGATGCTCATATTATCCCAGATTTGGACAGTGGTAGCTCCCACATGCTCTGCTTCCTGCTTCCTTCTGGCCTGTCTCCATCATTCTTTCAGCACTTCCTTACATTCTGGCATTATGGATGTTCCAGGCTTATCTGGTACTTTTCCTGCCCCAGTCCTGGAACCAGCCATTTCTCCAAAGAGCCCTTTGATCATATATATTCATTATTAAAATTACTTCTTTTTCTCTTCCTCCCAAGTAAAAAATCTTTCAATACCTTTTGTTGAATCCATTCCTCCAACTGCAAATAATGTACCAACAGTGGACTTTCTAGGTTTTGTCCGAGGACTTTGTAACATGGGCCGTCTCTCTGGTAATAAATGGTATTTCATTGCTTCCATAATGAGTTTCTGACATTCTATATCATCTCGAAAAAGTGCATTATTTTCCATATCTGCCAGGAACTAGAAAAGAATATTTAGTATGTATAGTGAATGACTAAGGAAAAAGTAAGGTTAAGAGAATAAACGATATAGTTCATAAACAGAAATTATACTTTTTAAAAATTCAAGTCTGAACACCTATTTTTAACTAAAATGTGCAACATTTACAAAATTTACTTTTTAAGTTTCACTGAAAAATAAAAATTGAGGAGGCGAGGCCAAGATGGTGGAGTAGTCAGATGCTTCCTGTGGTCCCTCCTACAACAAAGACCGGAAAAAACGAATGAATTGATTATATATGACAATCTAGGATCCCTGAACATCAAAGGCAAAGTTGAGGAATCAGATTGAGTGGGAGGGCAAGGAAGATACAGTTCAGAAGCAGCGAGGAGTTGCCAGACTTGACCCGATGGGAACCGGTACCCTGCAGCCCGCACGCACGTGAGGCAAGGAGTGATGCTTGGGACACGTTTTCCACATTGGGAGAGACCGAGCGATAGTCTACTCAAGCTTCCAGAATCAGTGAAAAGTGGTGCTTAATCAGCAAAAGATAAGTATATGTGTCTAATCTACCACATGGATCAAAAACCAACCTTTGGGAAAAACCTCTCTCCCATTTACCTGCCTCCTCCCTGCTCTGCACCAGGTCCCAGGGTGGCTTCAGACATGGCTGCATCCCCTGGGCTGGAAGTAAGGACCTGTCATGTGCCCTGAGCCATTCTCCCGGCCTTGGAGAGGGAACAAATTAACAAACGGGAGAAAATAATCTGCCAACTCCCCTAAACTGGGAACTTAGGGTAGGCACAGCTCCTTTGCCTAGGCACAGGCATAAGGGGTCCACAGACTTTGAATGCCTTTCACCCTGACAAGGACTTGTATGGGCCCATTTCAACAGCATAGGCCGTCATTAGCACACTACAGCAGGGTACATACCTGAAGCCTAACTTCAACTGTCAGCTCTATGGTGGAAGGGCAGGTTCGTGACATTTGACACCACTCTGCCCATTAAGCAGGGTCCTCACCTACCCACATCAAGGACCTGAGGACTGGTGGCTCTGCCCACACCACCTAGCCACCCACGACAGGGGTCCAAGAATAAGTGGTGCCTCCCAGTCCTTACAGTCAACAGCACTGGGTGCCTACAGTTCAGCTGCAAAACTCACCCACAACACACTCCAGGGAACATGGACATGCTTTCCTCCCAGACATTCAGGGGCAGTCGACAGCCCCCTGCCTTGTTCAGCCTGTGACCCCCTACTGCAGCCAGATACCTGTGCCTACACAAATCACCCCTGCCCAACTAGGACTGTAGGTGAGAGCCTGCACCACACACCTGGTGAACAACTATCTGGACACCTGGGCTGAATCCATACAAGAAAAGTAAACAGACTCCTGGGCTCACATATCTAGTAACAGATCTAACCACCTGGTGATAGGATGTTAGAGCTTCAAAGGTGCCAATAAACTAGCTCACATGAATAGCCTGTTTGGGCATATCAAAACAAAACAAGAAGCTAGGACACAGTAAGCAAACATAAAATAAATATAATAAGTTATTGATGGCTCAGAGACAACAGTCAATATCAAATCATATAAAGAGGCAGACCATGATGGCTTCAGCAAGCTCCCAAAACAAAGAATCAAGAAATTTTCCAAAGGAAGAGGACTTCTTGGAATTACTGTGGGTAGAATACAAAAGATTAATATACAGAACTCTTCAAGAGATCAGGAAGGAGATCAGGCAAAACACATAACAAGCCAAGGAACACACAAACAAAGCAAGAGAGGAACTTAGGAAGATTATAGAAGAGCAAAAGACAAATTTAACAGGCGGCAAGAATCCATAGAGAGACAGCAAACAGAAATTCAGAAGATTAACAATAAAATTTCAGAATTAGACAACTCAATAGAAAGTCAAAGGAGCAGAATTGAGGCAATGGAAGTCAAAATTAGTGAGATTGAAGATAAAGCACTTGACACCAACTTATCTGAGGAAAAATCAGATAAAAGAATTTTAAGAAATGAAGAAACCCTAAGAATTATGTGGGACTGTATCAAGAGGAATAACCTACAAGTGATTGGAGTACCAGAACAGGGAAGGATAACAGAAAATACAGAGAGAATTGTTGAAGATTTGTTGGCAGAAAACTTCCTTCATATCGTGGAAGATGAGAAGATATCTATCTAAGATGCTCACTGAACCCTACACAAGGTAGATCCCAAAAGAAAGTCACCAAGACATATTATAATCAAATTTGCCGAAACCAAAGATGAAGAGAGAATTTTAAGAGGGGGTAGGGATAAAAGAAAAGTCATCTACAAAGGAGAGTCAATAAGACTAAGCTCAGACTTAGTCTTTCTCCCGTATGTATGTATGTATGTATGTGTCTAATCAATCAATCTATCCATCCATCTAGCTAGCTATCTAAATAAATTATGAGGAGTTTTTAAACTTTCATATTAGACTTAGAAGTCATAGAATACTTTTAGTTAGCCGGGGTTAAATCTGAGTAATAGAAGCACCTCTTGCTCCCAGCTGCAACCTCAGTAGATCAAAGGAGAGTGCTCTAGAGGAGTAGTCATTAAAAATAAAATATCTTCCTGGATGTAAACAACAAAACTCCAAAGCAAATGAAGTTAAGATTAAAATAAAGGTTATAAGGTGGTTATCTCACTCCAGATGTTATGTATAAGTCTTAAATTTATGCCAAATTTTCACTTAAAATCAATAATGTATTTCTAACAAATGCTTTTCCAAGGAAAATAAAAATTCTACTTAAAGTTTAATAAAGTGGGTTATGTTATGGTGTAACTGACAATTCTATTGATTTCTGCTTAAAAAGAATTAAAATATTTCTCATAATAAATTGAAATTTGTGAAATCATCAAAACTATACAGAAAATTTCCCAAAGAATAAAACCCTAAGTGAAGCATAACCCAAATATCAACCTTTAATAATGAACAATCATTCTGTAGATAGTTTCATTTTTCCCTTATATTCAACAATTAAAATTTAGCTAACAATGATCAAAGGTAATTTAAAACCAAAACATCCATTATTAAACAGACCCACATATTTAAATGTTTAGTTTTATTAAAGTTTGGACAATGTCTTCATTATGCTTATTCATTTTTTCCTCCTTTGAGTTGAGGAAGGCATTTGTTTTCTTGAGCATGAAACACATAGGAATCAAGGTGGTCCTTTTAGAATTCAGTGACTGGAGAGGCAAAACAAAGCGGCATAATGTTTCTCTTTGGATAGAAAGCTATGCCATGCTGGATGTGTTTCCCTTGCTTCACGAGCAATGAGGCCTATGGACACACAAGACAATGAGGTAACAGAGAAGAAAGGCCAATTTCATCTTATCAGAGTGACCTAGAAAAGTAGCTTAATATTCCATACAGCTGCCAAATCCCCTTTTAAATATGGGGAGAGAATGTGGCTGAATATGTAGAATGTGAGTATAATGAGCAAGGATTCTATGTTCCTCTGATCAGTACACTATCTTTCATACTTCTTGGTTCTTAAAAAATGACAAGGAAATATACAGTCACAGTTCTAAAAATATAAAATTATGTTTTGATAATGGAAGAGAAGGAAGACTGTCTAACAAAAGTCACTGTAAAAAATAGTTTGTGGCATTGGGAAACTGAGCACAGCATGCTAAAGGCAAAAAAGCCAAATTAAGACCTAAGTCTCAGGACCTATGCCAGAGTGTAAATTCTGGTATTAATTATCCTATATTTTTTTCTATGCACACAAAGCATGTTAAAATTGCTACAGAAGCCATTAATGACTATGCATTGAGTTGGCTCATTCAGATTAATGTTAATGTTTATATAACTTGTGTTATGTATAATTACTTTAGTCCTTCCTAAATAAAAATAAATGTGAAACAAATAGTAGAAAGTAAAGTCTTGGGGGACTTAACTTGTAATGGTAATCTGGAGTAAAATATATTTTCTAGCATACTGATAATCTCTGTATTTTATGAATAAATGGGATTAATTATATTTAAGTACAGAAATGAAAATAATGGAAGAAACTATAAAGCCATTATTCTAAGTATCAGATTAGTCAAATGGAAGGTACTAGATATCATTGAAAAAATTATTCAGAAGGCATTATGAGAGAACTACAAAATGCACACTCTCATATACTCCACATGTTAGGTGAAATACAGTATGCCTCCTCTACCATAAAGAATGGCAAATAAGTAAAATGAAAGCATTTAGAAAACAGGAGAAAATTTTTCAATTTGTAAATTTTTATCTTCACTCACATCATCTGACTATTTTTCTAAAACTGTCCCCCTAAAAGGCTACTTAATGTAAGAAGTAAAATGTGAGTTATTTAAGAATTCTATAGATTTTTTAAAAATATTTTCGTTAAAAAATTTGCAAATTGAAACAATGCTAAAGGTAAATACTGACTCATTTTATATTTCTGAATTTTAGTAGAAAATGATAATGAGAACTGAGAACAGAATAATGAAACCCAAGGTACTTGTAATATGTGCTATTAGGAGCATTAAGAATTTATGTGTCAGGCAAACAATGTTACATATATATTTACCACAATTTAAAAAAAAAAGAGTTTACATGTCAAAAATCTTTTAAATAATGTACATATGTCCTAGTATTTCTACCTATTTTGTTTACAAGTTGATCAAGTTTGGAATAGTTTCAAAGGAAAATAAAATAATCATGAACACTTGTCTTCTGGGTTATTTGGAATTTTAAAAAGCCACATTAAAATGGGCATTTGGTAGGGTATTACTTAAGGATCTACTGTGGGAGTCACTACAATAAACTTACTATACATACCCCTTCTGTTGTTGTTAGTTGTCATCGAGTTGGCCTCTGATTCACGGCGAAGCCATGCAAAACAGAACCAAACACTGCTCACTCCTGTGGCATCCCCATGATCAGTTAAGATCAGACCTTTGGATCCACTGGCTGATTTTTGGAAGCAGATCATCAGGTTCATCTTAGTCTGGAAGCTCTGCTGAAACTTGTT